TGGTAAAATTTATGTATTCAAATTTAAAACGTTAAGGGGTGTTTCCCAAGATGTATCCCAGGCCTTTTGGATGTTCCCTTTGTTCCATTTACACCCACGATATCCCTATCACTTCGATTTTATCTACCTCACATGATGATCCAGCTATCATTTGATATATTCTGATCCTGATGTGTACCGTTGAAACATTATTACAAGATTTGTAAAACAATTAGAAGAAAAATAAAGGTACCAAAAGTAATTTTTTAATTTGTTGTTTAACTACTCACGTTATCTACTTTTCTTTCATTAAAACAAGTTTATCACAATGTTAGCTAACATTTTAAGAATGTTTGGTTGGCAGGAATTTTATATTGAGATCGAAATCATTAGTTCAGGCCGGTGCTAGTCAGTGCGGCATGCCCCGCTTCATTTTACAATATCTCTGTCGACTCCATCAAACATGTCTACTTTTTCTGATGATCCTACTATCCTATCCTTATTGTGATCCTGTCTTCAACCACATAAACTATTATACATAAGCTACATAAAACGGGGAAAGGTACAAATTTTAAAAAATGTAAATGTTTAACTTGTCATCTTTATATAAAAATCAATCTACAACGACATATGTACGTTGCCTTGGAAGATTTTTGGACTGGAGACCTGACACTCCGTCACTATATTGATAAAGCCAGGAACTAAACCGTCGATTTTTTTTCATATTTACCAAATGTACACTAGGGTTATTTTCATTCTTCTGATCAGTTCTTTCATATTTTATAAATGTTTATATTTCGCAAAAGTTACGATCTCAGATTTAAAACATTAGTTCACTAAAGCACGTGTCTCAGTTACTCTCATCTCCACCATACACACTCGTAAAAATACATTTACTTTTTTGATGACCCAGCTATCATTTACTTTATTCTGAACGTGCCATCTACTACAGAAACCTTGCTAGATCAGAGGGGGGAAAAAACTGGAAATAAAAATCAAAGAAACTAAAATTAAATTTTTGAATTATTTATACTTTTTATCTAATGTCTTAGTTGAGATGAAAAAGCTAGTGAGCGGGATTCGAACCCACGACCTTCGGTTAGTGAATCTAAGTCACGATAGCTCAAGTTTCTTTATAAGACGTAGATAAAAAGGATAATTAATAGAAAATAATTAATATGGTAAATTATGACTACTAAATACATATATGGAGTAATACAGTAAATTTTTGACTTGTTTATTTGACCGAATCACGATACTTTCTTACGCCGAGTATTTGCCGGCTTCGCTCCGTGGAGACGGGCGGGGTTACTTAATGAATTATAAACTTAATATTAAATTTAAAAAACAAAAATGGGCGCCACGCTGTTTATATACACGGAAACAGCGAACCGTAAAGAAAAAAAAAGAAAATAAAACAAAGAAAATTCAATAACAGTAAAATTAACTTAAAAAAAAGAACACAATATTTACATAAGGAGAAAAAAAAAAAAAAAAAACATTTATTCCATGGAAACTAAAATATTAAACATAGATTAATCTTAATTCTCTACGGGTAACATTTTAACAAACTTACACACTAAATGAACCTAAATTATCATAAAATCTAAATAAACATTCCTTAAAAACTAAACTTTCCTGGGAACCAGTGTCCAGATATTTTCCAGGATTTTTTCTTCTTTTCCAGGCGATTGAAAATCCCCTCTTCTAGGAATGTGGAGCACCTTCTCTGAAGATGAGTGGGTCCGCGATCGCTTTCATTGATCAAGGAATTGATGATTTTCTTTGCTCCGGCCGTAAGGATATCCGTCTCGACGCACACTCTCCTCTCTTTTTTTTACTCCTCTCCTCTCTCATAAGCCTATCCTAGGCCGTCTTAATTTTGATTAACCCACCGCCAATTTTAGTTTAGGCGGCATTACAATTCAGGAGGCATCCCTGGCCAAACAACAACAATACACTCATACTATGTTAAGCATCCTTTCACCGACGATACTGTACGTTGCTTGGGGTATTTATGGAAAGAAGAAAAGTTTGAAACTAAAACGAAGATTCCATCTACTCTGCAATCCACTTTTCTCCTGAATGCCGATCTAGACTCTCTTTGGCTAACAAACAACTTTATAAAGTGCAGTACATAAACATTCGGACTTTAAATTTGAGATTCAAGTAAAAACTTTTAACTTATTGTCAGACAGTATAAAACTTGTGAAAAATATGTAGATACAATCCTGATATGTAGATACAATCCAGATCATTTACGCTGACCTAACATTTCTTTTTTCTACGGCCTTGCAAGTACCTTAATCCTAAAATTCGACTCCACACTTTTACCCAATGAAATTCCTTTCGAATTCAACTAGCATCACCCAACACTTTCCCACATTCTTACCCAAATCCCATCAGTACATAAGCGGCGACGCGATGTCCCTGTGCAATGCGAATTCTTCCTCGTGTAGCTGGGAATAGAAAAGAAAATGGCTACCTATTCAGAGAGCCAAGCTGCCGTTTTTTGGATCGAATCTCGTGGTGTTACCACCATCAACAACGAGTTGGACGATAAGCCCCTATGTCTGACATTAATTAATTACTTTACTGATATAACATAAAATATGATAGTGTAGTTACAGTCCGAAACAATAAACATTGTCTCCGGTTGTTTTATCGAACTTTTTCTTTTTACATTTGGGAAAAAATCCACGTTCTGAACACTGCGTATATTAATATTCAAACCATTGAGAGAACGGCCGAGCGGCAAACATCTGGACGATAGTAGTGTTATAATTCACTGTAAATTATTTTCAGATCGGGCCTCGTGTTTTTCCCGCGGGGAAATTCCGGAATGTTTTTAAAAAACAATATAATAATCCAGGCCCTCGGGAAATTATGGCGACTTCGCGACGAAATAAAAAAGAGCCGAGGGTAGGCATGGGAAGACTGGAAAATATTATTTCCTCCTGATTCGTCTCCGATTGGTGCGAAATAAGGTGACATTCAATCGAAGCCTTTTAAGAATAAGAAAAGAAACATTTATGCCGAACATTGCGTCTTATTGTGATAAAATTAATTTTTTTGTTATTTCTTTTTCATTCACTTTCCTGGTTGACACGAAATAATTTGCACGTTTTTGGATCAAGTAAACAAAGTTAGTTATTGCAATATTTTATCCCCAAATGTAAAATTGTATTTTTTAAACTAGTAAACAAAGGTAGCTTAAGACCACTGTTATCAAATACATGTCTTACAAGAGGAGGCGTGAGTACGTCGGATCACCGGTTTTAAGCAATTTTTTTATAATACTAGTTCGAGAAACTAAGATTAATATAATCTCACAGTGACGTACCGTTAAGGTGGATTAGTTTGGAAACGGTTAGTGTTAGATTTAGTGTCAGGTTAGGTAAAGTTAAGTAAAGCTAGTTTTATTGTTAGGTTAGATTTGAGTTTGAGGTAGGGACGAGTGAGAGACTGGTTAGATTTGATAGGTAAGAGTTAGAATTACTGTTAGGCTAATTTAGAGTTAAGACTAGGGGCGGGCTAGAGTAGATTAGGTAAAGATAATTATGGGTAGGTTTGTTTATAGTTAGCTATGAGTTAAGGTAGGGTAGGCTAAGTAAAGCTAGATTTATAATTAGGTTACGTTAGGGTTGCGGCTAAGTACGGGTTAAGTTAGGTTACTTAAAAAAATAGTATTATTAAGTTATTTAAAGCTAGGCTTAATGATAGGTTAGTTTAGGATTAGTGTTAGAAATGTGTTAGTATAGATTAGGTCGTTAGGGTTACTGTTAGGGGCGGGTCTGAATACATATACATGAATCGTTTCATTAGCGTTTAGTATTTGTTCCGGGGTATAATGTAATTTGGCACCCTGGGTACTAATCAAAATTTAGTTTTTTAAACTTCCCATTTAAATCATTCGTTTCGAGACGATTAAGGTTGGGGTTAGGGAATGAGGTTAGAGGTAGGAAATTGGCATCATAAATTTTTAGGTGGAACAACCGGATAGAGAAGGAAGTAAGTAACGAAAATTCGTATTTGAGGGTGTTAAAGAGTCCCTAAAACGAAATCGAATTTTTTTCACAACTTTTTTGGCCTACTTTACTCAAAAAGGCTTTCGGTTTTTGCAATTTTTTATTTATCAATCCTCATCTATTACAATCCTGCACATTGTTTTCTTATTCTACGTAAATACATAAATCTACTAGGCTAATTTAGAGTTAAGACTAAGGGCGGGCTAGAATAGATTAGGTAAAGCTATTTATGGTTAGGTTAGTTACTTAAGCTATGAGTTAAGTACTAGGTAGGTTAGGCTGTGTAAAGCTAGATTTATAATTTATAATTAGTTAGGTTAGGGTTGCGGCTAACGGGTTGGATGGCCAATGGATATGTACGTAAACAAAAAAGGCAGAAAAACATTTTTAAAAACTTAAATTAGCTACAAAAATATTTTTCACGGCTCTTGGCCCATTAGCATTATGGCTAATATTTTTCGACCTGATATCAGTAAAAACCTGATAAAAATCCACGTCAGTAGCCTCCCCTTGCAATTTGAACACTAAAACCCTATCTAACTCTACAACTTTTATATTTGAATGTAATTGTAAACCTTTATACATTGGTTTTTAATTCTGTAACGCTCCAAATAGACTTTTTTTTTGTACTTTTTTAAACGCAAGTAGAATGATAACTATTTTCAGAGGATCTTTCTCTTTATCCAACCTCTTAAACAAACCAGTGTTACCTACAAACACTAACAAAACTAAAAAGCATACTTTTAATCGTGGAAGTTACACAAAAATAGACGATGAATTGAAAGTAAATAGCTTTTGTTTGTGGATGTTAAATTGCAAGGAGGTGAGAATTGGTAAACAACCTAATGGCTTGCCCACCTGTTTGTTTTCCTTGTAATTGGTAACTAAGGGACGTCGGCTTACCGTTGCCTGACACGTTTTCCCTTTATAACCCCGTTTTTCTTAAGAGCTTTTCCTATTTTGTCACATGCCAATATAACCTTTTTATTGCAGGCATTACAAGCTTGAGGCGGAAATTGCATCAATGACCTGGCGGGTGTACGCTCACGAGATAACGCATTTCGGAAAGTTCAAAGGAAGCATGCATTCCCTCGTAAGAAAGGGCAGTCAGCAAGTAAGTACGATAAAGTAACTGTAACTTAATTATTGATTTTTTTTTGTCAGATATGTATTAGCAAATTTGGCTTCCACGCTTATCACTATACTAATTGTCTTCCTGTCTTTACCACTTCTATTATTCAGGGTGTTCCTGTTCTATTTGCAACGACTTCGAATGTATAGTCTTCACACCAATCTTTAGTCCCTAACGTAACCTTAATTGAGAAAAATCAAATATATATAATCAGGGCTATCACATTTTTGGATTCAGTATTATATTTCTTTTATACTATTTGCCTCAGATAATTTTCAATTAGAATGCTCAAATTGAAAAATACCACAAAGTTTGGTTTGTAAGAAATAATGTATAATTAGAAATGCTCTTATGTTAATCCTGGAGATTGTCAAGCTTCACTAAAATTTAATTATTTATTAAGCTTTCAAACGGTATAAGAATATCCATAACCCCTCCTGATTGTAGAAGACTAGTTGCGAATCAATTATTGAAAACCAGACATGAGATGAAAAGTCACGACTCAGGTGTTGATGTCAAATCGACTTTTTTCAAGTTTTATAATTCGATCCAGAATAAATTTGCGAAAGATTTCCAAGCATTAAACATTAACAATTGTTTTCAAAATGATGACCACGATGTCTGCCACACATTCGTGCTCTTGTTCTCATGGCTCCTCCAGTTAACCGGATAAATTGGTCATAAATTTATTAGATCCTTCGAGGATTTTAACCCTCCAACCAACATCTTGAACACTATTCACTATTGAACTATACGCCCAACAAGTGCATGCCAGGTTGGACCAGCAGTACCCACGTGGATTGGTAGAGGATGAAACATCCCGTGGCCATATCGTTCCCCCGATTCTACTGTCATGACGTACTACGTTTGGTGATTCCTTAAAGAAAAAGTGTACAATTCAATAAAAAATCAAGTGGGTTTTGAATCCAGAACTGTGGAAGTTGGCTGATAGATATTTATGATTTTCTCAAGTAAGGTAACGTTTCCATGAAAAATTAACAAAAAAATTTGTGGGACCTTGGACGTATGGAATAAGCGGGGGGAAGTGTACTATCACTCAAAAAAAATTTTAGCACTTTTTGTGGGATACCCTGAACATAGGCTATACAATAATAATAATAATAATAATTGTTATTGCATGCAGGTTGATGGAGGAATATTAGAAATAAATATAATATAAAAATATAATTATTAAAATTATAATAAAAAGAATAAATAGAATGAATGCAATATATATAAATATATAATATATATATAGGTGTGAATGTATTTATTTGTGTGAATTAAATGTGTGTTGTTATATTTCGCATGCGTTCGGGGCTCAAATGACCAAGCTGTCAGATGCGCCTTAAAAAAAATTAAAAAAGTGTTTTTTTTAATATATATGTTACATTTAACTCTCGTTATTTCTGTAAACATTTTATATAAACCAATACATGATGAGTTGTCTTTGTACTGTATGTTATTTTTCAATACCATCCATATATCATAAACTAGCCAAACGAAAAATGGGAAAAGGGTTAAGTGTTAACATTTATTGTCTTATGTTTTACAGACGGTGTTTTCAGAAGACTGTGTCAGCCTGTTTGGCGACCTAAGGGGGCAGATGTTCATGCCGACGGCCATTTATAAGGTAAACAAGACAAAAATATAAATATCGTTGCAAGGAGTCGAACGTATCGGGGCTTTGTTTGCCTGGTTTAATTTCCGACTTAATTTGCACAGAAAACCTCCTTTTAAGCGTAGAACTGGTTTGTTTAGCCAAATTGGCTGTTTCAAGATGCAGAAGTGATCGCCGGTGTTTCGATTCTTCTTTAATTGGACCAGTACAATTATCCATTTACTTGTAGCCTAGTTTCAACGCTTCTTATTAGACTAATGGCAATTTGTTGGGGGGTTTCCGTAAGGTATTAATTTTTTCATCATGTTTTATTCAATTTTCTTCCATATTGATTAGAGTAAACGAGAGACAACAGGGGACAATGCTTCGTCGTTGAATTAAATTAATACAGAACAAAAGCTAAAAATAGAGCAAAAAACCCAAATTAATTAAAATTGTTTAAAAGAACGCCAAAAGAACAATAACCAGTGTAGTAAAACCAAAAAGAATACAATAGCTCTTAAAGGGCAAGTATCGCAACCTTCCTTGGACGAACAACTTATAAAACAAGAAAAACGTGACATGCAGGGTAGTTGCACCCTAGTCTTACAGACATATTATTATGAAATGTAATCAATTCGTACGACCAACCATTTTTACGAGAGTTCGGTAGGTTAACCGCAATCCAACAGGTACAATTTCCGTTCAAATTTTGATGCTTAGTCTATTTTAAACGGGAGTTAAAACTTTATACTTTACTTATGTCTTTTGGTTCAGGTTTTTCAACTTGTGTTACTCATCCTAACCTGAATGAACCTGACCAATAGAGCAAACATCTCTACGTACCACTCAGCAATGAGATATTTCATTTCATAAGCTATCTACCACTGAAAAATGAAATTTCGACCTTATTAATGCAACAATCCCAACATTAAGTTAAGATTATTTGGAAATCGTGAAATGCGGTCTGGTGTGACGTAGGTTTTAGAAAACATTTACTTTATCGTGCCAACTTTTCGATCTTTATTGAGATCATCTTGCCGAGTCTCAACACGACACGCAAGAATGGCACACTTACGCAGAAAACGAATGCTTTGATTGAATATAAAAAATATATTTTTTGCATTGTATAAATTCACTTATCCACATCCTAAATGTATTTGTTAAATGTAAACATTGTTTGTAAATCCCAGGCCCTGAAGATGATCTCAATAAAAGATCGAAACGTTGGCACGATAAAGAAAATGTTTTTCTGAAACGTACATCACTCCCGACCGCATCTCACGATATCTGAATAACTATCGATTANTTAATTATTATAATTTATTAGGATTTAACAAAAAAGTGCAATTGGGTCTATTAAAAAAATTGTAAATCTTATAATATTATAGCATACCTCAGGAAGGTTTTTATTAAAAAAAACTGTTGGTATAAAAAGAAGAATAAAATTCCAAGCATTACACCCAGTCGGAAATACTTTGATTGAATATAAAAAATCCCTTGTGCCTTTTTCAGACCTTGGCTTTTCTTCTGCCAAGTCTTTTCATCTCAGTTTCAAAAATATGGATTTTCCCGACACAATACATCTTTCGCTGTTTCCCGTTCTTCCTGGTATATATGTGAATAGGCTTGTTTCTGCGATGGACATTTTTTGAACTTTTGCATGCCTCTGTCCTAGACAATATAGAACCGAGGACTCATTACTACCTTATTGTTGGATCAATCTATGCTTTTGGCTATTTGGTATTCTGCACCTTCAGAGCTGATAGGTGTCCTCATCGAACTCTCCTTTTCCAATATATTAGTCTCCTCGTTGCCCAGGTGCTCAAACAAGGGTAATTTTGGTGTAGTTCCCAATGTCTGACAGGGTCTTGAATCCCAGACATCTACCTAAAAATTCTATAGCTTTCCTGACTTACATTTACAACTTGTCCTCAGAAAAACATACCCCTCATCATCCGTATAATAGCCTAATAAGATAATAACCTCATAAACCTCCATACCATACCATCCTACCAATCTATTGCCTATAATGTGCAACATACTGAAAATTCCTCCTTGAATACATCCTCTATTAAAGTTGGAGCTTTTATCGACGGTAATCACATCAGAATTTTTCGAGGTATCTTCATAAGGTCTTTGTGATAGTAGACTTTTGTGGGTTCATCAAGCTTTCGGCGATTGAACCGTAGGGCTTATTTATTGAAAAATATGTACTTTAACAGAGTTACAGTGAGATATTAAGTTACATTGTTTTCATAATATAATCAAATTATATAATTAAGATTCTTTAGAGTTAGTTTGATTATCGTCAGATTTAATTAAGATAAATTTAAAACTTAAAAACTACGGAAAAATGGAAAAAAGGAGATAATATGTTTTGCCAGCTAATACGACAGTTTTGCACAAATAAGATTCTACCTTGGCTGAAGATTTTCGTAGTCACTATGCGTGCCCTTATCTTCCTGCTCCTTTTTCCTCTTTTTTTCGATATTTACATACATTGAGAATGCCCGAGTATATTAAGATGGACCCTAAACTAGTGCGGAACTTGCATAAACAGCTTTTCTAAAAGTAACCGCTTCTCCAATTTCCTTTCTCAACCAAGGACTTCAAAGGAGTCAAACAGGAAAAAGTGACCACTTTTCAGTGTGTATTTCGCCAAACTAGAAATTTTCTTCTATTTATCACAGTCCATTCTATGCTGGTTCATTCTTATTGGTAATTTTTGTTTAATCTGTTTACCCTACCTGTTACATTGCGTAAAAATTAACTATTGCTCTATGTCTGATAGAGTAATAGTTAATGTCAGGAGGCTGATTAAAAAGGCAGGATAAAGCTTCAAATACTGCTCCTCTGTCAAATATTGAGGTGGAAAGGAATTAACCTAGCTATTTTTAAATCACGTTTATACCGGGAGTGTCTTACTGTTTAAAAATAACCTGAAGAATTGGTATTGCGTACAAGTAGAAATAATCTGGCGCCCTTACGTACGACTCAAAAGAGAAGAACTCTTCTCCTCAGAGTTTAAGGCAGGCGGACAAACGATCTAAACTGATTCTGCAAAACTAAAAAATGACCATTCGTTATGACCAAACGTTACAACCTACTAACAAAATCCTCCAAATCATCTATTTATCCAATTTTACCATTCACAATGACCTTAATTAATATTCAATATGCAGAAAACAGCTGCAAGGAGTTTTATAAACTTCTTTTCAAAATAATTCACCCCGATGAATAAAACGTCACTCGCGACCTCCTAAGTGACAGTGGGTGTAGTTAACGCTAATATTTACGAGGGAGTACTACTGAGAAGTTTCTTTGCAACTAACGACCGACATCGCTGCTGAACAACAAACATCATGACCACGTCACTAGCAACAACAGACGAACCAACGGCAAACCAACACAGACATCGTGACAAGCGAATACCGAAACGCGTTTGGGTATCTTACACAAGCATAAGAGTGTTGACGGGCTCAATAAGTAACCTAGTACCGGCTCATCACACTGTTGAGTAAATCCACTTTTTCCTATTTTTTAATTATACGTATTATCTGATTTAAAGAGCAGCAATTGGAACAGGTGTAAGAAAAGTATGAGTTAGTAGTTTAAAGGAGCGAGGTCAGGACTCGAATGTAGGATGAGCTTGCTTTCTTCCAAATCTTAAAATTTTGTTTCCCGTGTGGCCGAGTGCTGTAAAAAAGTAACAACTATTTCTATTCAGTTGCTGGACTAAAATCCCTTTTCACTTTTCTCAACCCGTTTCTTCGCCGATTCACAGTTTACTGGGAAAATTCAGGCAACAGATAAGAAGCGCTTTTTTAAGGATTTGCCTCAATAGCATCTCGTTCAGGTTCACTTGAAACTCGTTTTGTACTTTGATCCCTTTGCCGAATTTTATCCAAGCTTTTTACTTGTTCAAAACCACCTCTGAATATTTATCGACTGGATCCTGTTTAATTTCAAGGACCAAACGGAAATGTCTGGGATAAAAATGTTTCACAATCAATGTAATTAAAATTTTATACTTTTTATACTCTTTTTGTATGCGTCATTTTTACGAAAACGATGTCGAACATTTCTCATCTGTGTCAACATAATTATTCAATATAAAAGGTAAATACCAATAGCAATGTCATTAAATTGTATTAAAATATTAAACAAAAAGCCAACAAACTTGAAGAAAATGTAGAAACTATTTCTTTTTTACCCAGAAAACTAATTTACCCAGATTATCTTGAAAAAAGTCAATGTAAAAAATTCTTGAACATAATTTGATAAATTTTCTTCTTAAGTTAGAAACCTTGAACAAATTTGTCGTTGTACGTAATCTAGTTTAAGTCCGATTGACTGTAATCGGGTCATTTGCGATAACATTGGTCTATTTTCGTTCTTTTGGCCCGTATTGCTACGTATTTGACTAAAACAATCATGCTGCAGGTGCATCCCCAATCTAAAGAGGGAGAAAGGATTAATGACGTTCTATATATAGCAAGTTATTAATGTTGTGTTTATGTTGTCAGGCAACTATTAATCTCTAACTAGTTATTACTGGAGAGTAAACAAATAAATACCAGTGGCCGATTTTGGTTTTTGAGTGTAATTTCAAGAAGTTTGAACCAACGGTGTGATATAAAAAAGTATATATAATAAATAAAAGGTATACTAGAAATTCGAAGCTAGAATATATTAAAAAACTACATCGTTGATGTTTTTGCAAAAACTTAAAATGTGCAAAAATTTTATTTAAAAAAATTATGTATCCATTTCTATGTATTTTTTAATATACGTTTTTCACTACGATTGTTTGCCTATTGTCGTTCTAAGAGAAGAAGTTATTAGATGATTGGGATTGTAGAAGAGTGAACAAAATGATGGAAAAATGTAACTTTTTCGGAGATGCAAGGTCTGGTCGAGCTCGAATTTTTCTCGTTATTGCCTAATTTACGTTTTAAAAACGTTACACGGAGTAAATAGTAGATAAAATGTGTTTCAGTAGGGAAGGTTGATTTGGGCAAAGAATATATGTATATAAAAGATGAGAGTCTTCGAGTCGCAAGTTTACCAAGGATCTGGAACAGTTGATTCGCAATTAATAAAAAATTGCATATTTGGCATAAAAACTGTCGCTACTTAGAAAAAATCACATAAGCTGATACTTTTTATTACAAAACGGACAATTCATTGACTATTACTAATATCTCTGGTTTAAAGCCTAGAATGGGGAACATGTTTCATTCCACCGGCATTAACTGATATCAGCCATTAGTTAATTACCGGCCATAATCTTAATAATTTAACGGCTCTTGTTCGCTCTCTACGTGAACGTTCCCGGAAATCACTAATTTGCTTTGATCGATTACTCGAATCTTAGTTTTCAATTCGCCAAACCTTGATAAAATAAATACCGAAAAAAGATCAGTATGATTGATATTTCTATTCAATAAAATTTCTCATTTTTCCCTAGTCTCCCATACTCCGTACTGTTTCATAAGGATTTCCCATGTGGTTACTTCAAAATGGAGAACCTATAAATCGTCTTTTTTCTTTAATCTTTAACCTCTGTTTGCCGATATTAAAAGCCAAGCCACAATTGTTTGTATGAGCGTTCTTCCGTCAAAAAACATTCTGTCATACTTAACCAAGCCAACTTCTAAAAATTCTTGTATTTATTATCAATCCCTTTAATAAAATGTAAATTAATTAATTAAAGTTTTAATGAGGTAAAAGTCCTTTCAAGGTTACAATTTCTCTTCAGTTAGTAATTTAGTTTTTAAAGAGTAATTATAACCCTCTCGTCAAAGGTCCTTTGTAGGGTTTTAGGGTGGTTTTTCATCCTTCAATACTGACTGACTTTCATATCACATCAGCTGTATTTGATAGGGGGCGTTATTTAATAAATAGTATAGGTGTTCTGAAAAACGATCAGCAAGTTATACATACATTATAACGTGGCAGTTTTTAATAAATTTAATTTATTTTCAGGGAACCCAAGTAGCAGTGGAAATTATACGCAGATCCAGGATCGAGTTGAAACGCCCTCTCCTTCTGGAGTTGAAGCGGGTAAGTAAAAATGTCTTCGCCGAAGAGAAAACCATTCAATCTTTGCCGTTTTCCAAATAGTATCTGTAGTGTCTTTTCGACGAAGACACCAGGAGTCAATTTATCTCGGTCACTCGCGGATAAATCGGTGTGGAAAATTAATTACCATCCACGAGAGTGAAGCCAATTAGGAAGGAGTAACCCTCTCAGAAATCCATAACGACAATTAATAAACCTCGCCTGGCATCCCGGTGAATAGTCACGATGGCAGAACGTTCAAAATTTGCTATGAGTTTCTGAAGGAGGGGAGGGTGAAAGGGCTAATTTCATAATATACAAGAGGGAGATAGATAATACGTAAACATTATTATTTGTTCCTTGTTATTTGTATTTTTCAATTTCTATTTGAGAAAATTGCTCATCTCATCGATTAGAGCAAATATTCAAAAAGGATTATTAACTTGGCAATTTGGGATTTCGCAAACAAGCTGCAAGAAACTAATTTAATATACTACCTAATTTTAAATCTAGAATGTTGGCTATTTTTGTAACTAAACACAACAGTTTATTTGTAAGCAACATATTTCAGTTGCTTATGCATTTCGGGCCACGTCCCTGGTCCGTCTTCAGAGCTCTTTTTATCAAAAACAGAAAGAAATCTTTTCCATGTACATAACTTGCAACTTGCTAGTTTTGTAAATCGAACTCACTGATTACAAAGGTTACAAAAACAAGGAGGTCTCAATCACTTATCAGTAGATATAAATGTGACGTGAACCATACAAATCTTTGGTGAAAATATAAATTTTAACAACAAAACAACAAATATTTGTTGTATATATCNTATATTTATATATACACACACACAATATAGTTGTTTAACTTTTGTTATAAGTTTCAAATAATTAATAAATATATAATTTAAATCATATTCTACTTAATATCTAGGTTAGTTTTATAAACATTTAAGTTCAAATATCCAGATTTGTATTTATTTAGATCTTTCGACCACTATATATTATTATTACTATTATAGCTCTGAAGAGGGACGAGGGACGTGCTCGAAGAGCATATTCAACTGAAATATATTGCATACAAATAAATTGCATTACAAATAAAAAATAATCAACGTTGTTGATTTTAAATATTTCTACCACCTTATTAAGCTAATTTTTTTTAAATTGTACTACCTAATTTTTCAATGACCAAACTTCTATAAAACATTTTACCTATTATGTTCTTCTTATTGAATATATATATATATATATATATATATATATATCAAAATTTAAAAATTAAAAAGGGTTAATTTGAAATTGAAAAGGAATAATTCGAAGAAAAAACGATTAATTTGACATTAGAACGGTGTGATTTAAGTTAAAAAGGATTGGCTTGATGCAAAAACAGGTCAATATCAATAAAAAGGGTTAATACAACGGGACAAAAGAGACAATAAGGGAAAAAGTTTAATTTTTAATATTAATTGGATATCGTGCCCATACGGTTTTCTATGGGTCAAATTGTTTAATATTAAAAAAATCTCAAATATAGAGAATTTGTAATTAACATGGTTGTATTTAATACCATCTCCTAAATTTTTTTAATGCTTTCAAAAAAAGGTTAATTTGAAATTAGAATGGGTTAATTTAAAGTTAAAGAAAGTTAATTTCCAATTAATTATAGTCCAATATGACGGGGAAAGGGTTAATATGAAATTTGATGAAAGGTTTGTTTGAAATTAAAAGTTATGAGTTATTTCGATGTTAAAACGAGTGAATTCGAGTTTGTTGAGGGTTAATTTCAAACGAAAAGGGGTCAATTTGACGGGGAAAATGTAAAATTTTAAAAAAAGGTTAATTCAAAGTTTAACTAGATTAATTCTCGAGTAAATGGGGTTAAATATTTGGTGTTACTTTGACAGAAAAACTAAGCTCTTCATGTAGTTTAGGTTTCTTTAATTCAAAGTCATGGTTTCCCCCGAAAGAAAAATATTGTAATATAATCTATTTATAACAATTTAATTAATTAACATTCTATTTTATAATAAATTTAAAAAATTGTGTTCCATTCTACTCTGTCATAAAAAATGCAAACAAGCCTTTCAACAAAATAACTCAATTCACAGTCATCGTTAATGACAGTAGAACACTAAATGTTAGCAATTAACAATAAACATTTCAAACCATTTTTCGTGTTTTAGTCTTATATTAGCCAGATAATATAAGCAGCATACGAATGCAGTTTACGAACCTAACCTTGTTCAAAGTCCGTATAAATCTGTCAAAAGATTTAAACGTTATCATTCTACATTGAGCAAATGACTTATCAACAGTCGTTTGCGATTGATATTGGGTTATAATGCGACACAAGTTTACCAAAACCCTTGAGTTCTGTACTGTACTAACTCGAAGTAATCTGTTACAAAATCTAATCATTCATAATTGTTCAACAGATTGTTCCTCTTGCAGATAAACACGACCGCTTTAAAGTTTTATTACTAGTATTGTGCAATGTCCAGATGTAATTTAATTAAATGTGTTTCAATTTTTATCTTATTAAATCAAGAATTTTTACGAAGAATGTGTGGTGATTAGTGACAGTTAGTTAATGATTATTTGAAGATCGTGAGATGCGGTCTGGTGTGACGTAGGTTTTAGAAAAACATTTTCTTTATCAGGCCAACGTTTCCATCTTTATTGAGAACATCTTGCCGAGGGCACTGTCAAATGACTCACAAGAATGACACATCTACACGGAAAACTAACACATTGTGCCCTGAAGATGATCTCGATAAAGATCGAAACGTTGGCACGATAAAAAAAATGTTTTTCTAAAACCTACGTCACAGCAGAATGCATCTCACGATCTTAAAATAATCTTTACCAAGACTATTTGATATCCTTCATTATGCCAATAAGAGGTCAAAATCCAAACTGCTTTAAACAAGCAATATATTAATTATTTATATAAATTTAAAAAATTCCAATTTTTGAAATTATTCTGACAAAATCATGCATGTTCATCCTTGCTTAAAAAAACATGAAAAACATTATACCAAATAGATCATAATAACAAGTAAATCTCTTTCATAATGTTATGGCATACTTTAAGAACTGTAATGGGTTCCCATTATTTCACATTCTGCAAGATATTTTGAAAGATCGTTCTATAAATCATCGTGCTTCATCGTGCAGACAAAATGTACATTATAAACAACGCCCCTTTGCTCCACAAAAGCCTGAAACTATCAATACGGATTCGTTTATGATAGTTATAAAGTTTTTCCCTTAAATTAACCCTTTTTAACTTAAAATTAACTCTTACTTGAAAACAATAAATCCACTTAGAAGATAATATTCATTATTTAAATCTTTCGATACCACGAGCAATAAATTTCACTCAAATAAAATAATCAATAAATAAATTGTTTTTTGGCTGAAGACTTTGGAAGTTTTCGTTTCTCCGAAAAACAATGTTCCAAAATTATTATTGGTTTTTAACTGATGTTGTGGATACCAATTGCTTGAAATTCTTGTTGGGTCTCTCCATATTAGTTGGAGAAAAAGAAATAAAAACCTTTTTCTCTTGATGACCTTAGAGCTATTATTTTCTCCAAATTGAAGTCTAGAATCAACAAAACACACACCCTTAACATCATATTTACGAACTTTCTTCATTTTGTCTGTAGAAATTATTTTTGTACATACCTAGATCATATTTTTCCTATATTTCTTCCAAATATTTCAGAGATACTTTCGTTTTTCTCTGAAATAATTCTTGAAGGTCTTTTCTTTGTAAACTCAAAAAAAATAAAAAAAATAAATAAATAAAGGATTGTCCAGATTTCTGCTGCATCCACTCTACACCGACAACAACCAACAAAATAATTGCTCTTTTCAAAAAATAAAGTATAAAAACGGCATAAAAAACATTTATTTCTTTAAAGAATATTCTTTTCTTTTAAAAAAGTTTACTTCGAGTAAATAAAGGATTATTTGAAATTAAAAAGTTAACTTAAAATTTAAAAAATGATAGTGAAATTAAAAAGAATTATTTTCAAGTTAAAAAGGGTTAATTTGAAATGTAAAACTAGTTAATTTTAAATTAAAAATAGTTAATTTAAAATTTAGGAAAATTAATGTGAAGTTAAAAAGGTTAATTTTAAATTAAAAAAGGTTACGTTGAAATTAAAAAGCGTAAATTTGAATTTAATATAGTTATAAAAAAGAAATAATAATTAGTAATTCTGTGTTTGATTATTTTTATGAGATACTATTTGCAACATACACTATTTTTTAAGTTGATTTAACTATAAACATACGTATGTGGCATACGTACAGTAAATAATATATGCTGAATTGTCTTCGTCCTTACTGCTTATTTGGAATTATCCAAAGAGAAATTCCGCACTGAAGATGGCAGAACAACAAGCGAGTATGTGACATTGTAAAGTGAACTATTCAGGTAAACTAGCATTAAAACATGGACCTCTTCTATTTTGCCAAAAGCCAACCCCAATCATCCTCTTGTTTTCTTTTTCTTATGAATAAACGTCCAATTAACTGGCCCTTGAGCCCTCACATTCCTTTCTCTCCCACTTTACTCTTACTGCAAGGATAAAACCGTATTTCATTTAGTTAACGGTAAATTACTTTGGACCACCAAATTTCGAAGCAGAATTTGTTTCACTTACAGACCCAGGTATGAAGATGGTGCAAGATCAGGAGTTGTCGGTGGATCAGGAATATATTGTTTCTCCTTAAATAATTTGTGTATTTTTTGAACACATATTCAAAGCCATATTAATATAATTTCTCTCCCCAGTTCCACCAGTTTCATAATTCAGCATTAATAACTTCTGTGAAAAATCATCAAATTTTTTCTATTCATCCAATTTACCTCAGGTGACAAAAAGATCCGTTGCATTTTGCAAAATTGACCAACTGTAAACTAGTGTAGTACTAATTGCTGCAATCAAGAGAAACGGAAGCAAAAACCAGTAATTTCACCCTCTCGAAGTGATCAGGCCTTGGACGACGGCGAGAATATGACATCCCCTTTCTTTTAACAAGGCCTCAGTCGTCTGCCGGACAGGAATGTTCTTTCCCCTAAGGACGCCTTTTGGTCTTAATTGGCGGGCATCCATGGTAACCGTCTAAACCTTTTTTTTAACATGTCTCAAAACTGTTTACAAAACCCGAAACTGCGTCAGCCTTCATGGAAAGGAACGAAATTATTATTTGAGTAAGGAGAGCGGCCTTATTTGCTTTACAAAGAATCCGAATGAAAAGTTCCATAGGGTAACGGAAAGGCAAAGAGCCGCGACGGGAAACTTGTTGAGCCGTAATAAAAAGTTAAAGTTTTCTGGGCGGGGGAAACTTCATGATCTTATCCGGTTTCTCTTTTACTTTTAACGAGACTTTTAGGAGCTTGTAAGTTCTGACCAAAATAATTATAATGCATGGTTAAGTAGTTACGCTCAATATGTCTGATTTTTTATATGCAACGTTTATATTGGGTTGATGCAAAAATAATGCACATTTTTCATGTTCAGTGAAAACAGACTGCAGTTTAACGTCAACAAAACATATTTAATTGAAATAATTTCCATTATTATCTACACATTTTTGACAACGCACGACCAATGCGTTAATCCCAGAAGAGTAGAAACTAGGGTCTCTGATATCGACGAACTCCCGAAATGCATTTTCAACGTCATTCTATTTCTGAATCGTTTCTCGCACAAAAGATTGTTCAGATGTTTAAAAAGGTGATAATCTGTAGAAGAAAGATCCGGTGAGACTTGGGGATGTGGTAAAGCCTGCGACGATTTCGCCAATTTGAAATTGGATTTTTCCTATGGCGTTGTTGTCCATTTATTGGGAGTTGTCTCGCCCTTGAGAATCTTCTTCTGAAGAAACAATTTTCTGAGGTGCGATGTGGGGCCGAAGGTATAGAAGAAAGAGGGGATACAAGATAAACAAACTCCTCAGCCGAGGTGATGAGGCGTTTGTGAGATACATGCCAATCAGAGGTCCAGCTAATAAGAAGTATAACTGTCCAACAAGAAGGGATTTTGCGGTCATCTTGGAACGGCAAAACTGGGACCCCGGAAATTCAAGCCTACACAAGGTGCCTTTTTTTGGAAGATACATTTTAATCTTTTGTGTGTGTGTCAAGGCCAGTAATTCTGAAATTATAATTTTTCATGAAATTTAAAAGATTTTGGTTTAGATAAATCAATAAATTTAGATAATTAAATAAATACTTTTTTCTCTTTACTCAAAAGTGTACATTTTTTATTTATTTTTAATCATTTCTAATTTCGTTATAATTTTTATTTTATTATACATTCTCTTTTCTTTTAGTTTGATTTTGATTAACCATTATTTTAACATGCCTACATAGTTAGGCACATATGTGAAGGCTGTTTTAGTGGGCAGTCTTTCTCTATAAGTTTCAAAAAGAAAAACCAATTCTCTAGCTGAAACTGACCGTCACAAGCCTCGTAACCCAACTAACGAAGTCGTGCCAAAGTCCGTTTTGCGTGTGGGCGTGCGTTGTCGTGAAGGAGGATAGGCGCTTTCCGATTGATAAATACTGGCCATAAATTCGCAGTTTTTCGGTCAATTTCATTAATTTAATTACAGTACTTTTCAACAGTGATGGTTTCACCCGGATTGAGAATGCTGCAATGAATCAGTCCTACAGATGACCACTAGACACTGACCATCATGTTTTTTGGGATGGAAGCTTGGCTTTGGAAGTGCCCTGGTTTTTCACTCCCTCCACCATCTAGAACGCTGTCCATTGTCGTATAATATTCATTTTTTGTCACACGTTACTCTACGACTGACTTTATGGATCACTTTTGTTGCGGAGGGAAAGCATTGAACAGATTTCATACCTGCAATCCTTTCGCGGTCGGTCCGCTCTTGCAGAACCCAGTTGGCGAGCTTTTTTGCTATTCCAATAGCTTCCAAATGGCGAACGACTCTGGATTGGTCTACCTCAGTAGTTTTTGAGGGGAAGCTTCAACTATAGCCCTTAACTGGCCATTTCTCGCTAGCTTCTGTGCTCGTGAGGTCATAATCTCCATTACGGAATTTTTGAAAGCAACGCTGCAATGTGGATTCATTTATGGTTCCTTGCCCTCAAATGTCATTAATGTTTCGAGCAGTTTGCATTCGCCCAAGTTTAACTTCATAAAAATAATTTTGCCGAAAATCACTCTTAGACATGATTTTATTTGAAGGCACTGAACAGACTGAATTAAATGTTTTTACTAAAAGGATTGAAAGAAAAAGAAAGCGAGATAAATAGGCTTTAAAATTATGTGTATCCCTTAGCATAATGGAATAGTTTTGTTTACGCAATTGGTATTAAAAGTGAAGCGAAAAGGAAAACGTGCATTTATTTTGCACCAACCCAATACAAACAGTCGGTTTATAATCATTTTGTTTATAATCATTTAATCTGTTTTCCTTATCACTTTTTCCTAGAACTTTTATATGAATAAACAAATAAGATAAGATAAAATTTGGCGCATAAAATAAAGTTTTTGAGTATAACTTATAAAGCCCCCGTTTTGAAAATGTAATTTATACTTTAAAAAAATAACTATTCGCACTTTCGATCTATAGAAAAAATTTATGCCCCTTTGTCGATGAAAAATCCAGAATGGCTTTTTTTATTTTTGTACTAGGAACTTTTAAATTCAATATTTATTGGTTAAATGAAACTTCGCCCAGGAGTGTTAAATCATATTTTTACGAGTTTGCTAATAAAAACTATTTTTTTGTTTGGCAAATACATGTCGTACTCATTGAAGCTTGTAAATATCTAAATATATATTTTTATTGCTGAACAATGTACAGTCTCCTCCTTTTAAGTACGAGTTCTTTCTGCACAGATCGTTCAAATGTAAATTTTGTTTTTAAATTAACAATTTAACACATTTGCCAAATTCACGGATTTTCCTGCACTCAATAAATACTAGTTTATTAATATTTAAGTTGGTTAAGAAATATTGTTATTACCCAACTGCGCGAAGCTCAATAGGTTTACAGATGATAAAAAAGAAAGGGAAAAGACCTCGAGGGGAAAAGCTACCCAATGATAGTACTACGAATAAGATATAACAGAAAGCATATTTTACAGTACTGATTAATTTATTTTTTCTTGTAATAAACTTGAATACAAAAAATTGCTGGTATTAAATTACTTAAAACTAGCAGTATTTCACATCTTGAATTTTTGATGCACACTGCTTACCGAATATTTTACCCGAAGGTTTTCGTGTTTCCTTTGATAATATTTTCCTGTTAATTTTTCGTACAGGAAATCCCAATCGGATTACGTTCGTCAGGTGGTATTATCTGTTATATAACCCTATTAACGAACATGATAAATTCACCTTCACCGACTAGATTAAATTCGTTTGCCGTCCTGGTTGGTAATTTAGAGACAACAAATTACTAATGACATCAAAATTTAATGGTTGACATCTTATATATATATATATATATATATAAGAGATATATATATTATATATTTTTAATATATGTATAGATATATATTTATATATCAGTGATGTGTTCAAGTTTCCATCTAATTAGTAGTATTTCTACAAACCAATTTATCTTATGAAGTTTCATTCAAATTAGTTCTTTTTGTCAGATTTTAATTTACTTGGATTATTCTTTTATAGACTTCTGATTTAAACCCAAATTAAGTATAACAGTGAAATATTTAAAAATACGAAAAATACACCCATTAAAATGAGAATATTAAGATATTAAAGCAAAATGATTTTTAAAAAATACATTTCCTACATCAAAGATGACCAAGGTTTTTACAATTGCCCAATATTGAAACTTCTATTTAATATATTTCAGATGAAAGACCTGCACCACGACCACCTGGTTCGATTCTACGGAGCGTGCATCGACCCGCCGAACTGTTGCCTGCTTACCGAGTACTGCCCCAAGGGCTACCTCCAGGATATCCTGGAAAACGAGCAGATCAAGCTTGATTGGATGTTTCGTTACAGCTTGATGCACGATCTCATTAAGGTATAACGGAAAATAAATAAACATTGAACGCTTTCTAGATGTAGATGTTTTGGGGAAATGCATACATCGCTATTTTGATACCTATTAAATTGTTTTGGATTTGATCAGTATAGCATACCTTTCTAATTCAACGTGGAATTTGATTACTATGCCCTGTTTTAATGAATGTATTTTTTATACGGTTAGGTTGTGTGTCCCATAGCATTTTATCCTGCTTAAACGTGTGGCACCACTGTCTGCAAATAGGTGGGTTGGGGTTTTTCTAGACTTGTTGCGAATCCGAACGTAACACGGTTGATTCCAATCGTCTTCAAAAGCCCATTCTTTTGTTTTTTGTCGATCAGACGCGCTTTTTCTTTCCATTTATGCATTCTGTACTTTATTTTTCCCCCAACCTCACCAGGAAATTTGAATTGTTCCGGTACATTGTTTCCAGTCCCACCATTGTTCACTATGACTTTCGTATGAATCCCTATACCACAAAATGGTTCAAAACCTATCAGCTCTGCAACAGCTTCTTTGTAAAGGCATCCCATTCGCATTCCAATAGGGATTTATTTTGTTTTCCTCACCTCGCCGTTTTAATTTGGTTTTACAATTCACCACCATTTTTTTGCTATTGGTATCTATGTTTAATGCTCTGATGGCTGCCCGTCTTCATTTCCTATTTCCCTTGACTAAGAGGGTTGTTGCCCAATCCTGGGACTGGTGACGTCGATGCCATGAATGTCGGATATTTCTTCATTAGGATGATTTTGTGCTATGTTTTAATATTTTTAGAGGGCGAGACACTCATCTATTACATTTCAAACAAACATGTCATTACATGACCATGAGCTCCGAATATTTGATACCTTCTTGTGTGTTAAATCTGTTGGTGTACCAACATATAGTATTTTCTTTGTCTGAGGGTTTTTTTCACTTCCCCATTTCTTACTAGTAGTTACGTCAAAACTATGATACCCATTACGTGAGAATATGACGAAATTCCCTATTTCAGTGTAGATATCTAATTTAAAATTATTTAACAACAAATTTAAAATACGTCTCAAATCACGAGAACATTAGGAAAAAATTTGTTTTGAAAAAATTGTTCCTATTTTTTAAACCTCAAAATTAAAATCAGATAATCCATACTTTCTTATATAATTTTGCAATATTAAACCAAAAATTCAATATTTTTTAAGATGTTAACGCAGCATTGCTTAAATTATATGTGACAGTTAACGAGATGTCGTTTTCTGAAACTCAAACAGAACTTTTGTCGATATTGTATTTTTCCTCTTTCGTCTGGGTTTCTTTCCGAAGGAAAGAGACATCTTATTTTCAGTGCTAATGTATACACCAAATCCCTGAGGTGGCTGATGTGCGTTGGCATGGATGTTCACGCGCCATATTACGTACATCAAACAATCCATACATATTTAAACGGAAAGACTCGGAATCATCAATTCTTCACGCGTATTACAAATTTAATGAATATATTAATCCTATAGCTGTTTTAAAACGAAATCCAGTCCTAAGAATAAAGGTTAGACGGCTAAAATATATATTCACAATCATTTCAACTCAAATCAAAAATTTTTGTACATAAATAAATAACGATGCTTAACATATTCCTATTCTCATTTATTACGATTTATTTTAGAAATCATCCCAACTCGACTCTTTCATCGGCGAACGCTTTGTAAACAAATTTTAATTAAAGTATTGTTTTTGTGGTCAAAATCGCTGGAAAGCATTCCCTTGTTGTTTTATTTACGTTCAAAATCTAGATTTTTGCATGCTGTTATTTTTTTAACGTAATTTATTTTATGTATTGCTATCTGTGGAAAATATATATTGAGCAAATAGTATAATAATAATACAAATCTGACAGATCAGTCAAACCAGGAGGCAGTGGGAAGAGAAACCAACCAGTGCTGGAATTCTCTTTTATTGAATTGGCTCGGTCACGAGACCATCGTCGTAACGTGGAGGATTGAAAGGGTGGGACGTTGAGGAAAGAGTTAAGGCTAGAGTGTTAGTGCGGAGGGATAGTTAGTGGAAATAGAGGAAGCATGTTCGGATAAAATCTTTCACGAATGGGATATTAAGATCTTGAGGAGTTCCCCATATGCACTACAGCTGTTCAGCTTATTTTACTTTATCCCTAGCACCATTTTTGGGGGCTCGCAACACGAGTGTGAATTTGAGCCCCCGGTGTGCCGGTGTTCTTCCGTAGAAGAAACTCATATTTTGAAGGGGGTTGGGACCAAATTCAGGGTCGCTGAGATCCGATTTCGCCCCTTCCATTGATGAGTGCCGAGTCAATTTCTTTCATTGCGGCCACCGGTCCCCTTAGGCGTCAGAAAAAAGTTCAGAGGGGATCGAACTCACGACCGCGGGATCTGTTAATTTCCAGTTGCTTCCATTACATGCTATACATGCTATACATATTATGTATATTATGCAGGGCGGACGACCAAGACCCGAGGGGTTAAATGCCTGGGTAGACTCGTACACCATCCCTAAAATGTCCGGGACTTGGTCAGCTCACGTGTCCTGCAAAATCTCTTGGACTTGTTCACAAACCCCAAAATTTTGGACCATTTTATCTCGGGGAGTGATTTGGTGATGTCCGCTCCTTCAAAGATTTCAAACCTGGACCTAGCATACCTATCACACTCTGTGAGGTAGTGCCTTGTCGATTCTTCTTTTATTTCGCAATAACGGCAAAAGGGACCTGGTAGAATACCCATTACAAAGAGGTGTCTTCTCAGTGGGCAGTGGCCCGTTAGAATACCTCTCAGCCTCCTAATTCCCTTCCTTGAGATAGAGAATAGCCATTTCGATTCTGCTGGTTTGATCACCTTAACGACTCTTTCTATTGCCTGTGTCCGGGGGATAAATTCCACTCCCTAAGGAATTGTTTCATGCCCCAGTCATTAACACTCTCTTTCGCTGTTCTCATAGAGTGAGGTAATATTGTACAACAACGACAAACGCAGTATTAGAACATGCTATACATAGTGTTGATTTCGAGTAAGTGAGTGGTCTGTTGTAATCTAAGTAATTCTATCTAAGTCCAAAGTAGCAGACTTGTTTCGATGGTGGAATTATCTAGTTGTTAATGTGCATTGGAGGGCAGGTTTGACGTTTGAACGTAAACGTGACTTGTCTCTTTTGTTCGTTCAACCCGATCCGCCATCGAGTGCACCAGTCAGTAATGCGATTCAATGTTGCTGGATTGCTTATGTGCAGAAACCGGATTTTAATTTAAAAATTGCCAAAATATGCAATAAAAATAAGCAATTGAAAGCCCTGAAATATGCAATATTAATACGTTTAAATATGCAATGATATGCAATAAACCAGTTTTTTTACTATAGTAACTTTAAACAGAAATATAGATAATTAAACGAAATAGATATTACAACTCTTTAAAACTAAAAATAACTAAAACTCACAAGTGTTTAGAGTTTATTTACATTTAACAAAAATGTTTTCTCACATACATAATTAAATTATTTATTTTATACTAATTGAGTATATTTAATTTTAATTAATTGAACCTTAATTAATTGAATGATATTAATTGGTCAAGCGGACCCCGAAAAATAATGGAATTAATTTTAATAAATAAGTACTTCTCTGAACTGTCTTCCGTGAAATTGTGCCTACTAATTAAAATATAATTTCACAATAAAATTTGTGAAAATATTGAATATAAGACCTAAGAAGGGGTTTTATATTCTTTTGTCGGTATTCCTAGAACCTTCTCTTCCCGTCGTTGCGGCCTGTTCCAGTTTTCTTCAAGTTAAACCAGTTTTTGGCCAACTTGTAGTGTTTTTACAGATTTTTTTTATGTTTCCCCCCAAAAACCGATATATTATTTTAAATATTTTGCGCGATAAATGCGATTTTACGGAAAAAATCCTTCAAATGTGTGATATTGTTCAAATATGCAATTTTATGTGATATTCATTAAATATGCAAATATTTGTTCTATAAAATTTAACCTACGGCTTCCAAGATACATGATTCGGATAGATAATTGATTTCCTCGGTCGTATGTGGTGTCAAAAAAAATATGCAACTGCATAAAAATCCGGTCTCTACTTATGTGGCTAGGATAAGATTGGAATAAGAATACAATTGCGTCTTCGTCTCGATAGGCCATTGATTTATTGTAGAATGACAGCCATAATTGATTTTCTATTATTATCATTTTTTGCTTGATTCCATGGTCCGTCCAGTACGTTGGTATTTTGATTTCCTTTCACAACTAAATACGGAAGCCGCTCATAATTTTAAGAATAGTTGAACCGAAATAATTAGTGTCTTTTCCATCGCGGTCGCTTCCTTTCCTTCGTGTGGCGTTACAACAAACGAAAATTATACAAGTACTCTTGTGAATGATATATTTTAGACTGGGATCACTAACACTAACTTAAATGTATGCAATTTAAACATTTCTAGCATGGAAATTCGGAATTATTTGACACAATTTTCTTCTTTGTCAATGTCATCTTTTCTCACGTCGACAATTTAAAAAATGTAACGTACAAATGATATTTATTGTCGGAGTTTTGTCATTGTCAACGATGAAAAGGGAGACCAGAACTAACACTTCTAAGAGAGTATCTCTTCCGGACTACTTTCTTATATGGGATCATTTACGTGGACACTAACAAATTTTCGGTTGAAAAACAGCAAGTAAGTAAACAACATTTGTAAAAACATGTTTTTTTTAAATTTTATTATCTACATTTCGGGCTGTTTCCCTTTTTTCATGCCCGTAATCATGAAAACCTTTACAAGAAGTACAGTCATTTAATAATACAAAATTTATAAAATTATTGTAGTAATTAATTTATATTAATATATTAGTATATAAATATATATAAAAAATAATATATTAGTATATAATATATTAATATATAGTATTATTGTTTTTATTTTATGGTTAAAAACATCAGATAAACAGCAGGTAATTGATATTGATATTTTTAACATAATATAAAACTAATAAAATAAATTAAATTAATTACTAATTTTATAATGTAAGAATAACTTTTTTTTAATCAAAAAGGCAAAAATACATAAACAAATGTTTTATTTATAAAATATTTCTTGTATTCCACATAAAATTTGTATTAAAGTTGGGATACTAATTAACAATGCGTTAAAACGCAGCGATACAATTTATTAATTAAAAAACGCTTTGTAAATGAATTTACACCTTAATAAGAAAAATGAATTTTAATTCCTCTTTTCTTAGTTTTATTTGTCGTTTTTTTCTTTTATTTTATTTTTATGTAGGTCTTATTATGCGAATGTGTTTTAAATAAAATTCACGATATTACGACGTTGTTCTGTATATACGTGCAAACGGTACTGGATTGCCAACACTTTGTAAAATTGTGATTTATTTATTTTTATAACATGGGTATTTCAACTACGATATTATGTGAACCCTTGGGGTTATGGTGTTTTTGAGAAAAAAATATTTGTAAGAATGTCGGGTTCGAATCCAGCGGCCCTGCATTTGAACCCGGCTCCTTCGTTTTACATCGATAAGCATCGTGTTAACTCCTAAAGTGTTGCGGCCACCAACGCCCACTTGAATTTTATTTAAAAACCACCTTCAATAATAAGGCTTACAGAATTGAGAAATAAAACCTGTTATGTTTTATGTTTTAAGCCTGGATGTTTAAAATTTTGATTTTGCACTCACTGTGATGTAATTTAAACACTCTTATCTTCTATTTCTGTATTAATTTTTACAGGGTATGGCCTTCTTGCACCATTCCGACATAAAGTCACACGGTAATTTGAAGTCCTCCACGTGTCTCGTCGACTCCAGATTTGTTCTTAAAATCACCGATTTTGGCCTGAGGTCACTGCGAGAAACTGCAGGCTCAATGGAAGACAGTGATTCCTACGCTTACTGGAAAAGTAAGTAACAGTGTGTTCTATAATATGTTAAATAACAAATAAAAATTGTATTAGTTAATGTCTGATCCTTAGCAAAAATATTGGTTTGATTTTACTCTTCATCTTGACCTGAATTTCACTTCGCACTCCGATCAGATCGCTGATTTCCTTGATTTACTCTTTCCCTTTCTAACATAGTTCATAACAACTATTTTGAATTCAATAATACGCACAACCAACAATTATTAGACCAGTTTGGACCTATGGAGCCGAGATTTGGGGCTCGTCCAAATTCTCCAATTTCCGTCGAATCCAGTCCTTTCAATCCAAAGTCCTCCGTCGCATCTTCATTGCTGCTTTCTAGGTTAACAATAGCCTAACAATTCTCAAAAAACCTAGTCATTCCATTTGTGGAGAATCTGATCGAGCACATTTCCATAATTACCACTCAAGTTATCCCTTTACCTTAACACACTGTCTGAAATATTTCCACATTCCATCCTTATAATCCTCCATATCATCTAAGCCTGTGATGTCCTTGTGACCTTATATCAACACCTAGTCCTACCAATTAACAGAGTTACACCACTGGCTGGCTCCCAACATCCCAAGGTCTGACAGATCTACGTTTAAATTATTACAAACAACTTTGTCCTATTTTCTGCAACAAAATAGTCAATTGCAATTATTGTTTATACAAACCAATTTTATGTATTTAACAGTATAATATTACGTGTTGAAATGGGACAGCATAATAAAATACAAAGTTTGTAAAAAGGCCTGGGCCCCTACAGTAACTAGGGCGAAGGAAATCCACTAACATCGATTACCAAGTTTGCAGCCCAACTACGAAACGTTTTCTCGAATCATCAACCCTCCAGAAAGTTAAGGTCGAGCTGATTTTGGACTAAATAAAAGGAGGACGTACTAACATGCAAATAAAACTAATGAATTGATTTTATCCAGCCCGACCACAGTGAATCATTCATAGATTTTGACGTGAATTCGAACTGTTAATTTTTAAAATTGTGATTGGAATATTTGCATAAAGAAATACTGGCAATTAAATATAGTAATGTACAGCAAAACTGGCTGAAAACACTGAGGTTTTTTCTAGTATATCAGATGTGCTTAATTTTTGTTCCATTCCTTCCGTTGTTTGGTCTTTCAATTGGGTTTATGCCCTGTTACCCATACCTTGTTGACCTTATATCAACAAATTTGTTGTCTAAGACATTTTATTTCATGTTTTTGTAATATTGTATAATTACAATTTGTATTTGTATAATTTATTTTTTAAGCCTTCCAAATAACCCTGAAGTTTGTACATCAAGAATTTCATTGCTGCTTGGCTCTAATCTAATTTTTTTTAAATATCATTCTGATTTTTTGATTCTGATGTGACCGGAGCCCATCGCCAGTATCACCGCTTGGATTAAATAAACAAAAAATAATACAGTGTAAATTAAATGAATAACCATCATAAATGCGTAAATTAACCCTCTTCATAGCATGCAAATCAAACTGACCAATAGTAGAGAAACTTTGCTATGAAAATTTCACTCAAATCATCACTATTAATGTATTTTTTACGAGAATGAAGCCCTTCCAAACCGATCTTTCCCAAATAAGAAATTATCCATATTTCGTGTATCAAAGAACTGTGCTATGTCAGTTTGGTTTTAGATGACGCGAAATAGAATATATAGAATATCAAGGAATAAATTTTACCATCGAAAGCAAGATAATTTTTTTTATACATTGTGTCTCCTAACCATATAAAACATATATATTTAAAATAAATTTTATTAAGTTTCGTGGTCCGCTTGACCAAATAAATTCTTTGCAATTAATAAGGTGTTGGTTGAGATAAAAAAGTCAGTGCCACAAGCGGGATTCGAACCCACGACCTTCGGCTAAATACGACTTGAGCTATCGTGACTTCGATCCACTCGGACACTAGCTTGACATCTCAACCCCACCTTTTTGAATTTTCCCTCCTCTCGGCGACACAACCTTATTTAATTGAAAAGAATTTATTTGGTCAAGCGGACCACGAAACCTAATAAAATGTAATATGCAAAATGAAGCTTCTCCGTGGCGATCATTTGTCGCCGAGAATCAAATAGATTACACGACAAAATCGTCTCAACCAAAACCTTAATTAATTGAAAAGAATTTAAAATAAAGTTCGACTACTGATGTTTAACTTTGCTTTGTGGTTCTACAAAATTCCACAATAGCTGTATTGTCTAAAAAAAACTACCAGCAAATTGTACAAAACTCGTTTTGCAAACTGTTAATATGAAAGATAGCCGTATGATTCTTTCTTAAAAAACTATTCCGGTTGTATGTTGAATTTAGCTATATTTTTCGTTGAACATTACCCAACTGTTCGTGTTTTGTTTTTTCAGAAATGCTCTGGACTGCACCTGAACTTCTCAGATTAGAAAATCCCCCATTGGAAGGGACTCAGAAGGGCGACGTTTACTCTTTTGCGATAATAGTCCACGAAATCGTGACGAGGCAGGGCCCCTGGGCCAACCTCCCGGAACCCTCCATTCAACCAAGAGGTGAGCTCTCTAATCTAATTTACGTTTAATTATAATATGCAATCAAATCTTAATGCCTACATAGACTTATGGGACTGTAAATACAGCCGACGGTCGTGGGTTCGAATGACACTAATTTTTTCATCTAAACGAAGATCTTACATAAACAGATTAATTAATTGAACAAAATAATTTGGTCAATCAGACCACTAAATATAATGGATTTAGTTATCCAACAATATAGAGTTGTACCAAACAAAGTAGCATAAAATTAATACAAACACTCCAAAATAATATGGTCAATGTGCTATGCAACATAAGGAATAAGATTTTACATAGGCACGTAAAATTCAAAAATTCGCTAGCAAATACCAGTCACCTCCGCCTACTTGAAAATGTCAAAGCGGCGAAATTCCTACTAAACGGGAGCATCGTCAGAAGCTTAAAAACAAATAATATAAATTGTTAAATCACACAAATAATGTATACTGTAAATAATTAATATACATAACATTTACAGAACACTCACGTTTCTCTTAAAAATCGAAACAGTGGATCCACAACCTACTCTCATGCCCAAAGCCTGTTTTTATATCAGTTATCATGCCTTCTCGTCCCCTATAAGGTCAAGCCCTGGTACTCACTCCTCGACCAAGTATGACACACTGCGCGACTATTCTCTACAAGCGGGGTACACCCGCACTGGGTTTTCCTCAAAAGCTGGTGTCTGTATGTCAATCGGGAATAGCCTATCACCAAACAGAGGAAACCCTTCCTTTCGTATCAGCCTCTCGTGGAGGGGGCATCGTACAGTGCTGCTCTTGACTCCCAAGTTTTCGTACTGGGCCATTGACGCTGCGACATTCCGTTATTGCATTCTTCACTACTCGTAAAGCATCAACGAATCGGATCTCGGTAGTTCGGTCTGCACGTTCGTTGCCCTCCTCTCGAAATCGAACACGATAAAATGGTCCCACTGGGGTCACAATGTCATGTAACATTGAGGTACTTTAGAGTGCGCACCTGGCCGATTAGGCTTTATCACACGTTTAAATTCTCAAGTAAGGAGCGACTCACCTCCGCATGCGGAAAATCTGCTTCTTCCTTGCAAAAGAAGGTCATACACACAGGCATAAGGTGGATAAGAGGGTCCATCGTGAATCTGTCACGGATAGTTGAAACCGCCCTCAGGGAGGCCATATAGACAAGAAAGGCAGAGCTTCCTTCGTCTCGAATCACCCTGATATGCCAGATTGAGTACAACCCCTGACAAAACGAAGCGGCTTCAAAGTGGACGAGCCTCCGCTATACACGGCGCAGTCCACACTTTCACCGGTCCTCGACCCATCCCGTATAAACGAGGTGAAAACAGGCGAACTTCAATCTGAGTTCTAGGAACTCGGCTCGGTTGAGGTGCGGCCTTGTCCATGACCTGGCTAGTACCAGAAGATCGTCCTGGACTCGTACGGGCGAGAAGACCCAGAGAGGCGTCTGCCGGTTTTCCAGCTCATGTATCGCCCACACTGTCAAATCGGCCATGCCTTAAGGCTTCGAATCCTCAGGTGTCGCGTCCGAGTTCGAAGTCTCTCTTACTCACCAGACTATGCTCGTTTAGCAGTTGCCCACGAACTGATCCGATCCTGTGTCCAAAAGTACCAAACCAACCACTAATCCATCCTAACTCCCCCATGCACTCTCAACACCTGGCAACCCCCCAATTCGACTAAAACGACGATGTCCTCGAGACATAGTCACTACTTAATCGTTCAAGTTGAGTTCCGGGATTAGCTTGTTCTTTCTTTTTTTGTTCTTAACATTTGTTTTCTAGGTGCTGTGCATATTATTGTGTTGGTGATTTGTCCAGGAAAAAAACATGAATTTCTAATGTATGATTGCAATAAAATTATTTATAAAAACAAAAATTAAAATAAACACAGAGACATTGTCTCAACCAAAACTACATATTTGAAAAGTAATCTTTATACGATTTCCCATATCTTATGTGATTTAAAAACAAAAAGTCATAGAAATCGTAGCTTTGGTAAATTTTACTTTATTGTTTGTAAACCTTTCTGTCCGGGCCTTCATTTCATATATTAAAGCTAATAAAATAAACGTGTGGAAGAAACCTAGCTATAAAATGTGACAGTCGTGAAACATACCTTAATTTAATCGCCTCTAAGTGTGATGCACGGTCACAAGGGCGAACCGAATTCTATTATACTAAATTGGTAAGGGGTAAATTGCAAGGTTGCAACATTCTACTAAATAGTATTTACACTTGACAATATATAATTTGATATTGAAAAATAAATATAAAAAAAGGGAAAGCTAGATAAAAATGTTCATGGTACATAAACAGTCTGACTAAGCGATACAAATAAAACCAGACATAAAAACACAAACATGAACTATATACAACTTTTTAATTATACGAATCTATTCATGGAACAATTGCAAAAAAGAAATGATTTCAAAATGTCTTTAATTCAGTAATTTTTAATATATTTCTATGGATCTCTTGAATCCTGTGCTAAGGTATTTTATAAACAATATGGTGGTATAACACGTTGGTACTTGTAATAACATAGAATTTGTATACTGTTTTTAAATTCATCCAGCAAAAAAAACTTATTTTTCGTACAAAAACTTTCGTTAGAATCAATTAAATACTGCAGTTCTTGCCGCTGAATAATATTCCGCCGTAAAATTTCAACCCACGGGAAATTTACACAGGGACTTAAGTAACTTCTCAGTCTGTGTGGAAAACTTAGACTCTTCAAAGAGACAAACTTTATCGTGTCAGGTTTTCCTCATAAATCATGACATCGTCGTGGTTTAACGAAGTTTCTTAACTAGAATTTATATTGACGATCTCTAACAATTTGTTGTGAAATATACCAGAACAATACTTTGTTCTGGTTCATTCAACTTAACGAATAACTGAAACGTTAAAAATTCAGTGATATTTTGTTCAAAAATATAATGCAACTATGTCAATATTAAATAATTTAATTTGAATTAGTTTGGAGTTTATATGAAATAATGGAAATTATTTAAGTTGTTCCCAAAAAGCACTTCATCAACTTACTACGGGCCCATCAGATGTTACCGATTCTAGGGAAAGTTTTAGACGGCTTATTTCCTCTCAATCCTAATATCTCAAAATGTTAACCCTGGCCATCAGTCTGATTTTCGCAGATATCACTCAGCAGTTCATCTATTTCAACGCGTTGTGGACCTTATTTACTCTGTTGAATCACGTCATTACGGTTTACTAGGTTTCGATCGAGTTTAGCACCCTCATTCAAGGACATCATTGCAGGTGTTTCTCAGGGTAGCATTCAGGCCCCACACTTTACCTCGTGTTCACAACTGACTTCTCATCCCATTTTCAAACCAACACCTTAACTTTGCACCGTAAAGTTAATTTTCTTAAGCAACACAGATACTTTGATTTCTACTCAAAATCTTGTACTACTGGAGTCTAGATGTTAAAGGAAATTATAAAATTTTTCACGAAACATCTAATTTCATAACCTTCACTCTCTGCAAAAAGACCCCTCTTTCAGTTTATGTCAATAATCCTCTCTTCAACTGCGGAAAAGTGATGTCATTACATCAACAAATATTTAGTGTGGAATCTCCACACACGACTAAACCGGCATGGAACGATACAGGGTTTATTAACTTCTTGACCTACCACAAATAAAAGGCTGTTTTGTAATACTAGTAACGCCTTAGTGATATAGGGGAACCTGGACTTACGAACAGGAATATGATGTTCAGCCATATCTCTCAATATCGCAAAACCAAACTGCCCAATCCAAAATCCTAAGAAAAACCGTTGATGTTTTTGTTTTTTCCATACAAAATTTCCATACAAGTTTAAATATAAGTTTTGTCCAAGATGTGGCACTGACAGTTACACAAGTCCTAATATCTACATTTTTGAAGATGAGACACGTAAACAATTAGTAAACAAATAGTTTTGTTGAAAAATTGGAAAAGGCTCGGAATGTTGATGCCTCAGGTTATAATTAATTTCAAAATTTAGTATAATATATACCCAGGTCATTTGCAAATGCTTAAATTTCAAAATTTGCACTATGATTCCTGTTTGAAATTCCTTCCTTCCTATGATTTCCTGTTGAAATATTTTAAAGACTACGTTTAGCCATTTTTTTTTTAACAAAAATGCTCAAAACTAACTAAAAGTACTGAATATAGGCTTATAACAAGGACTAGAAAATTAATATTTAAAAAAAATTGTTTCGAAAATTTACAGTTTAGTTTTTATTATCACCCAGTCTAAACATTATAAAGTCTTAAACAGCCAATAAACCAACGTAAAATACTAATGCTAATGTAAATTCGGGAGAAAAACAATATTCCAGGGGTCGTTCCGCGGCTAAAAAACGTTAACAATTCTTGTGAGGTGAAACTAGAAAGGGTGATTTTCGGCCTGGCGTGTTGACTTTATCAGAAGGAGGTCACTTTTTGTCCGGCTGCTGATTGCCACCGCTTTGTGCAACAAGAAAAACAAGTGGAAATTGAGCAGTGCTTTTACAAAGCCAATTTCTGCCCTCCTTTAATCAAAAGTTGCAGAAGGGTTTGAGGCAACTAGACATTTTCTTTTACATTTTATTCTATATTTTTTGCCCCGTGTAAATATTAAACGATGTTCCATAAACATAATCTGCTTGAAATACAAAAAATTACTACATATCATTTCAATTGTAAACTGTAAATATACATTTCAGTGTTTTACAAGGTTTTTGGTTTTATTTTACTATATTATGTTGCAATTTGTTTTGTTTTAAATATTACTAATAAGCTACTCAATTATAATTGAAGTAGTTACCCAAATAGATTCCAATTTACTCATATTGATCATTGGTAGTTCTACCTACAATCGCGGTTTGCCCTAGTTCAGATCATTTTGGCCTCTCGGTTTCATTTTTAGGAGCACATACCAAAAGCGGTTTTAAAATTTTCAGCTTTCTTTAAATACAAAACATGTTACCTTTTTCTTGTATTTTAATTTGTTTTTTGTATCGTCTTTAATTTGTTAATGTTATTTGATTTTTAGAAGGTAAAATAAATTCTCGACGTTTTAAGGTTACACTTCGCCATTTTGTTTCAATTAAAATTGGCAATATATATTTCAAAAAGTTTAAAACTTATATTATAAATATGTCTTTTATATACAAAATTTGAGTTCATTAATATTAACATAAAATTAAAAAAAGAAATAATAAGGCTAAATATTTAACACCACCGTGTCGCACTATTGAAAATTAATTACTTCAATTTGTTGTTAATACTCCTTTGTTAAAATTTGACATAAATGAAATAAATTATTATATCCGTTAGTGGATTAGCCGCAGAACAAGTTTAAAATAGAATTCTTGGCATCAACCTGTGTTAACTTGTCAGATAATAATTTCAAAGGTTCTACTCGTGATTTATGCTTTGTATATTTATTTTCTTAGGACTTACGTAATTTACCCCACATAGTTATATTGTTAAAAGAGAGTTTACGAGCTTACTGACGTAGGAAATTATTTATTTATATTTATATTGTCACATAAACCATAAAAACTTAACTTTTTTTCTTGTTGACTATGAATCCCATCACCTACTAGACTTTTGGCAGTTTTATATATATATATATATATATATATATATATATATATACACACATCTGTTCATAAACTTCTATAGTCCACCCATTCTGTTGAGAAAGAGGTAAATTTAGCAAAAAAATGGTCTTACAAACCCAAACTTAATTTTGCATACATACACATGTATTTGTATGACCTGAAAATTAACATATTTCAAGGTCAAGATCATTGGTGAGTTGTAGCCTAAAGTGTAAAATTACAATTATGTTGGCTAAACTAATCACAGTTAACTTATCTGTAATTTCTGGTTGCAAATTACTTGTGTCCTTCCTGCTGTTCTTAAATACCTTTGGTTTATATTAGTGTAATATTTTCAGTGGAGGGAGTATATACGTATATTTTTTTGTTATAAATTTTACGCCCACAATCAATAGATAGAAAATACGAAGAAAATAACATATCGTGAATATGAGTTTCTAAAAACGTCAGGGCACTTCATTGCAAATGAAAGCAAAGCCTGTCAAGCTTTGGACGTGTTCTAATCATCAGGCAAAACAAATTGTGTTAAGACCCTGTAATTATATATACTTTAACTGTGATTAGTTTTGTCAAAATAATTATGATTGGTTTATAGATTTGACGATATCTAGTAATTGATTTTTCTCAGTCGTACAGAAAGATTGAAGACAAGTTTTGTGCTCTTATTAGAGGCAAATGCAAATTAGGTATAATTACAATAACTTTTTTATTGCACTATCCCTACTGTAAA